GACCCAAGCTCCCAGCCTTTCCTTCTTTTTTTCTCTTTTGGTGGGCTGGAAGCAGTATCTGGGATTTATTTATCTTCTATAATTGAAACTTTGTAGCCTTGAGCAGAGCCCAGGTCTGGCCAGGGCAGGCAGGAAGCTTGGCTTCCTCCCATCGCTGGGGGCAACCCAAGCCTTCTGCTTGCTCCAGCTCCGTGGTCGCCGCCATCTTAGTTGGGTTAATTTGCATACTGGCTCCTGATTGGCTTGCGAGTGTGGTGGAGTGATGGTTAATTTGCATCTTTCTCTTTTATTAGTGTAGATATATATACATGTATATATATAGACACACACACACACACACAGATATCTATATCTATATATATATAGATAGATATTTTTTTTTTGTCAATTTTTCTTCTCCATGTCTCACCTCCATTTCCTCAGTTCCTCTCCTGTCCCCCCACCTCCTACCCCAACCTGTTTTGGTCTCTGTCTGCCCTGTTAGAGTTTATCCTTAGAATTCTAGAAGTCCAGTTGTTAGTTAACACCACTCCACCGTGGAAAAACAAAATTCTATCTAGAAGCTCTGAGCATGTATGGGGGGGAGGTCCTAGTCAGCTTCTGCCATCTTACTGCCTCTTGTTGGGGACTCTCAGTAGGCATTTGTTGGCAAACAGATTTCCCTAAAATTCCTCTAATTGTGGCCTCACTGCCTTTGTTCCCAGGCCAGAGGTTCGAAGTGCTGCCTCAACCTGAGTCTTTTGAGGAGTTAGTGGTATAATTTGAGTTGTTTCTCATTTTGTCCACTGCTGGGTGAGGATTCCATTTTCTTGCATCAGCTAGTTATTGCTCTTTCTTTTATTTAAAATTTTAAAAATATTTTTATTGATTTCAGAGAGAGAGAGAGAAACATCAATGATGAGAGAGGAACATTGATCAGCTGCCTCTGGCATGCTCCCACTGGGGATGGAGCCCGCAAACTGGGCATGCGCCCAGATTGGGAATCAAACCGTGACCTCCTGGTTCATAGGTCAACACTCAACCACTGAGCAACACCGGCTGGGCAGTTCTTGCTCTTTTATAATCCCCAAATCATTGCCTGCACTCCCTGTCGCCTTTTCTTGGTGGGTCAGAGCTGCTTTATAAGCTGATGGGATGTGGTTCTCAGCTCCAAAGCTTTTCCTGTCTTGATCATCAACTTCATTCAGACATAATTCTGCATGACTTTCAAATAGTTCTAGGTTCAGGTACATCTTCCTCAGGGAAGCTTACATTGTTCAAGATTTTGCAAAAGAATGTGCCCTGAGGCCCTGATAGCTCAGTTGGTTAGAGCGTCATCCGGATACACTAAGGTTGTGGGTTCAATTCCCAGTCAGGGTACATATAAGAATCAACCAATGAATGCATAAATAAATGGAACAACAAAATTGATCTCTCTCTCTCTTCCTCTCTCTTCCTTTTCCTCATCTCTCTCAAATCAATAAGTAAAAATAAATAAACTTTTAAATAGAATGTGCCCTGAGTTGTTGCTGAGGCTGAGAACTAATGGTTCCCGTGGGAAGCCCTTGAAGAACAGGCAGGGAAGGGATTAGGAATTCCCGACTCAGCCTTCTTTATGGTTCTTTTGTTTCAGTGCATTGCCTTTCCTAGAGGACTGAGCCTCACTGACTTGTGACTTGAACCCAGGTGGTGAGACATGGGATGTAGTCTTGTATGTTGGTTGATGGTGCCCCCTCCTCCAATCTGTTACACTCCCAGAGTAGGAGATGACCTTAGGTAATCATGAACACAGGTATGAAAGACTGATCTAAGGATGAAGTTGGTCCTTAGCTGGTATAATTTTTCCTTTCAGGCTCCTGTGGCATTTGATGACATCATTTGTACTTGCTTCAGGAGGAATGGATGCTGCTGAGTCAGCAGCAGAAGGAGACCTGTGGTTCTGACAGGCTGGTGGCACCCCTGGGTATGGGTTCACTTCCCCCCACCTGAGTGAGTCTGGATTGGCATTCCCAAGTGCATCCGACTATGACATACTTGAGAATTTTATGGAATCTTACCATTTTTTCCCAGGCATCTTTATACTATTTATATCTGCTCAGTCCCTTTTCTCACTTACCTAACTTACCTTTTCTACCTGGTCATGATCACTCACTACCCTTTCTTTAAATTGGCCAAGAGAATTGGGGAAAATTGGGCTACACCATGATGCCTCAGGATATCCCAAGTTGCCAGATGGGAAGCCCTAGCTGTGTTACGTTGGACTGCAAGGTGAATTCTGTTGCCCACAGGACACGAGGTAGAAATAGTGTCAGACCTGGAGTGTGGAAATCTGTTCTCAGTCCCAGCTCTACCATATGACACTGGTGTGACCTTTTTCAGTCTTGACTTCCCTCTTCATAGGATGGTCATAGAGGTTGAATAAGATAAAACAACCTAAAACTTTGTGTCCATGTGGTTATCTTTCTATTTTCTGAATGTCCTTTCTCTGCTTCTATGGGTAGACTCTGTGTACCATGGACAGCGGCAATTGTATTTCAGGTGTGTGCTTGCATAGATAGTATTTTCTGATTTCAATTTGATGGCCATCTGTCATGCCTGTCCTTTCTTCTTTTCATCTTGGTCTGTGACTAAGAGTTATGAGAATGACAGCCTTCGCTCTCTGTGGGTGGGGGGATTGCTGCTTGGGTTGGGTCTTCTTCCTGTGCTAAAACACTTGAAAACCACTAATTCTTCTAAACCAGAAGTGGCAAAGGAGTAGCTCATGGGCCAGATTAGGTTTGCAGATTATTTTATTTTTTTGCTTTCAACACTTTTTTTTGGCTTCTTAAAAAAATACTATATATGTTATCAGTATTTAACCATTGGGAGTTTTCACATAAAACTATGGATTTCTGGCTTCTCTTAAAAAATGGGATCGTCAGGCAGTGCCGGCCCTGCGTCCACATGGTGGCCTCTTCCTGGAGTGGAGTAGCAGCTGTCCCGGTACATGGTTGGCCACAGTTTTCTCAGTTGTGTTATGGCTCTGCTCCTTCTCAGCCTTTGAGTTTGAGCCTCTGTTCTGAACCAATAGTTTTCAGACCTTGCTGTGCCCCTCATTGCTTTCACTGGTCCCTTTCTTTTAGGGGCCTCATGGATACCTGCATTTTCTAAACCAGTATGCTAAAATATTGAGATTTATATTTGCCTCCCTAACCAATTATCCTACAATGCTGAGAGGATGTCACAGACAGATCTTTCCTTAGTGTTGTGATCTAGATCCAAGATCTCATGCTTCTCTCTCTCTCTTCCTGACTCAGGACCAACTATTGCCAACCCAGAGCTGTTCTGTAAGTTTGAGCAAGGGTCAGAACCATGGCAAGGCAATGTCCAGGGCCAGAGGCATCTCCTGAGCCACCACCCAGGTGAGTGTGGACCTGCACCGGGGCAGGGGGCTTAGCTGGAGAGAGGACTCCTGTCTCATCCTCTGCTTCTCCCTGTTCTCTACCAACTTACACAGAATGCCCCCCCCAACTTCACCATAACTAAAATATGCACATGTCCCCTGGCATAAATTCCATGAAGGCATGACTTGCTCTTCTTTACTACTGTATTCCCAGTGCCAAGAACAATGCCCGGCACATGGTAGTTGCACAATAGATAATCACTGAATAATGGATGGATGGATGGATGGATGAATAGTCATTTACTAAGTTCTAAGGATTTAACTATGTTTCCCTCCTTTGATAAACCTGTCCTGTCCAGGGATTGGCTTGGTTCAAGCAGAGCCGGGCCATATGGTAACCTGTCACTGTGTAAGAGACTGAGTGAACCCAGCCCCTCCTGAGGGAGGAAAAGGGGGTGGGAACAAATTCCTCTGTGAATTGAATCACAGAAGTTTGCTCTCCCTCATGGTCTCTCTCAGATGGACCACAGGAGCCCTAGGCTGCTTCTTTTTTTTTAAATCCTCACTTGAGGATATTTTTTCTATTGGCTTTTAGAGAGAGTGGAAGGGAGGGAGGGAGGGGCAGAAGAGAGAGTAACATTGATGTGAGAGAGACACATCACTTAGTTGCCTCCTGCCTGTGCCCCGACCCAGGCCAGGGATTGAACCTGCTACCGAGGTGTGTGCCCCTGACCTGGAATTGAACCCAAGACCCTTTGTGCTTGGGCTGGCGCTCTAACTACTGAGCAACACTGGTCAGGGCAAGCCCTAGACTTCTTGATACTATTTGTTTTGTTCTTCCACGCTTGACTCTTATTCGGAGTTTTGTGCTCCTGGGTTAGCGCAGTTCTATAGACTGGTCTCTTAAGTTCTTGGCCCTGGGCATCAGAACTTCCATCGATGCATAAAAAAATGTCTCCAGAGGACTTTGAGTTGTCTAAGCTGCATTTCAACTAAGGAGTGAATAAAGAAACTTGAAGAAAGAAAATCTTAGTGAGGTTATGAGGGTTTCCACCTCTTTGAAGGGTTGTGGTGTAACAGAAGAATGGACTTTGTTTCTCTCGAGGGGCTGAAGCAGCCCCCCAAGGTGGAAGTTATACAAAGATGGATAGCAGCTTAAGGAAACTCTGGGACCAAAGCTGTCTTGATGCCTGTCTGTCAGAGAATACTGTGGAGGGGACTCCTGCCGAGTATGGAGTCGCAGCACAGGCAAACCTTGCTCTCTTGCACTTCACAGATGCTGCTTTTTAAAAAAAAATAAATTGAAGGCTTATAGCAGTCCTGCGTTAAGCAAATCTATTAGCGCCATTTTTCCAACAGGCTCAGGTGATGGTTGGCTTTTTATTTATTTTATTTTTATTTATTTCAGAGAAGAAGGGAGAGGGAGAGAGAGAAATATCAATGATGAGAGAGAATCATTGATCGGCTGCCTCATGCACGCCCCACAGTGGGGATCAAGCCCGCAACCTGGGCATGTGCCCTGACTGGGAATCAAACTGTGACCTGCTGGTTCATAGGTCAATGCTCAACCACTGAGCCAAGCCGGCTGGGCGATGATTGACTTTTTTTAAGCAATAAAGTATTCTTTAATTAAGATACATACATTTTTTAGACATAATGCTATTGCACATTTAATAGATTACAGTACAGTATAAACATAACTTTTATGTTCACTAGGAAATAAAAAAATTTCTGTGACTCACTTTATTGCGATATTTGCTTTCTTGTAGTGGTCTGGAACCGAACCCGCACTGTGTCTGAGATACGGCTATATTTGGCTTCAAATCTCTTTTTTGACCCTATGTTCTATTAATTCAGTTTCTTATCTATAAATAAATTTGAAGTCCTGAAGATTGTGCCACTGTCTTGGGTTGCAGAGATCAAATTGCACCGATCTCCTTTTGGCCAGGTGTGTCTATCCTTTAAATTTAAAAAACAAAACACAACAAAAAACGTCTGCTTAAACCCACCTGATTTCCTCCTGGAGGCAGTAAGGAGGGCCTGGGAGCTGGGGGACTGAAGAGAATGCGGGGAGAGGCTGTCACTTTGGTATGTGTGATCTCCAGCTTTCGTAGTTGATGTGTCTGTGATTGGCAGTGGCTCTGACTCTAGGACTTGAGGGCAATTCCCTTTGTCTCTTTTATCTAAAGGAAAAAACAAGATGGGCTGCATGGAGGAAGTGGACGTGCATGGGCCAGCCAGAGAAGCTGGACCGGACCTCCCCCCTCAGACGAAAGCCTGTCTTTCCCATTTCAGAGCAGAGAGTGGCACCATCAGGGAAAGCTGTGCAGGAAAATGCAAAAAGCCCTTGAAACCCCGATCCATCCAGAAGTCTTGGTTTGCACAGTTCCCGTGGCTGGTCATGAATGAGGAGAAGACGGCTCTCTTTTGTTCCGCTTGCCGAGAACACCCCTCCGCCAAAGACAGACGGTCCCGACTGATAGAAGGCTACACAGGACCGTTCAAGGTGGAGACTCTCAAATATCATGCCAAGAGCAACGCTCACCTGTTCTGCATCAGTGCTTTGGCAACCCAGGACCCCATCTGGGCAGCCCGTTTCCGGAACATCCGAGATGCCAGCCCAGATTATCCCATTCTGCAGCCCCCGGCGCCTCTGGGAGCCTATGGTGGTACGGCCCAGCTCCTGCCCAGCTCTCGAGCTGAACGGGAGGAGCCTGTGGGGAATGGGGCACTTCCTGCATTGTATGTAGAGTGCATTTCCCATGTGAGGCATAAAGATACCGCCAGTGACGTCAGCAGCTCCTCAAACACTAACATTGTTCGTAATGACTCTGCTGAATCCTGCGGCCAGGTAATATGTTCATAATGGTTGCTGCATCTCCAGGGGAGGATTCCATACTGAGAACAACATACATTGTGTGATGATGATGAAGAAATTATATGAGCTTACCTGCTACTAATGTTACCATAAGCTAAGATGCTTGTCATGTCTTGGGCATTGTTTTAAGTGCTCTCCATGAACTCTCATTTATTTAAGACAACAGCCCTATTATTATCATCTCCTTTTTGCAGATAACAAAACATAATTAGTGGGACAGAACATTCTAACTCCTGATAGCAGGGAAGCACCTAGACTCAGAATAGTAATCGTTATCCAGAATCCAAAACAACCACAGAACAACTGCAGCATGCTTACTAGTAAGTCATCAATTCACATTTCCTTTTCAACTTGGACCTCGGAATCATGGAGCACTTGTAAACACTGCCACGGCTCTTCACACACGTTCTTTCGTGTAGTGATTTTGGTGCTGCTCTGAGGCTGGGGGAGCAGCCTGGTTGGACGCACCGTTGGGAGTGATGTGTCCAGAGTCCGAGGCCTCTCGTGGTGTTGACCTCCCCTCAGGCCTTGCCACCAGCGCAGTGTTTTCCTTCCACTCCCTGCAGCGCTCGTGGGTCCTAGAAGACTCTAATTCTCAGTTTATTTTGTAATTTTCTAATTCTTTGGAAGGTTGGCCTGTGAGAAAACTGTTAACTGGAATCTTTGAGTAACTAGAACCCTCCCCATTTTTCACTGTTCCCTGTAAGTAGGACTTTGCTACAAATCTGTTTGAGTACCCGCTCTAGTACACCAAGGAGCAGAGCTCAGACATTCCCTTATCTAACATCAGAAGGGCGCAGCTAAAGTTCGTAAGCTCGAATTTTTCCAGAATCTAGAAAAGTGTCAAGACTTATTTCTCTTCACATTCATGTTCCTTCTAGTTTTTAGATTAGAAGCTAATAAACAGGCCAAACCTCTTATAATCTGAATTCCTGTAGCAGTAAAGCCTGTGTAAACATAGTCGCATCTCTCGTTGCTTTTTACTCCTTCCTTTCCACCCCAGTGGGAAATTCCAGCAGGTGCTTCTAGAGGCAGAGGTCACCTTAGTAGTCACGGCTGAGTAAGGACACCCCTCAGGACTGGAGGAGACAGGGTGCAGCCATAAGGCTCTACCAAGATCCCTGTTTTTCCAGCGTGTTCATATTTCCTCCGAGGAGACCCTAGGATCCCACTGAGGCTCATTTGGTTCTTACTCACTAATTCCAGGCCTCATGAATTTGCTTTAGTTCGAAGGATAAATTAGTTCCTCAGAGCACATCTGGCCTCTTGGTGAGCTTCCTAGGAAACGCAGGCCCTGAGAGGCACCCGAAAGTGTCATGCCAGTGTCTGACGCGAGAGGCGAGGCGCACCGCGTGACTGCTGCTCTCTGTTGCAGGAGCTCCCGCTGGTGTTTGAGGAGGTGGCAGTGTATTTCACGCGGGAGGAGTGGGGCGTGCTAGGCCAGCCGCAGAAGGAGCTGTACAGAGACGTGATGCGGGTGAATTATGAGCTGCTGGCCTCCCTGGGTAAAGATTCATGTAGACCTTTGTCACCACCATCATCTGACGTGAGCAACCCACAAGGGCACTGTGGCTGCGGTCATCTTCCCATTTCCGCCCTTTCCGTGTTCACAGGCAGAGAATGAGTCTATCTTCCACGCCTCAGATCTCGCCTTGCTTCGGGATATACTGTACTTTGTCACCTCCGCACCCATCTATCACCCGTCCTCCACCAGACATTTACTGAGTACCTACTATGTGTCTGGCGAACCTGAACTCGTTCTGCTTCCAAGGTCTGAGCAAGGTCTCTGCTTTCGAGAGGCTGGCGGGTATTGGGGAGAGACAGATACTTTCATAAGAAACTGTCAAATAACACAAGCTCCATAAGAGGTTCAGGCCTTGGCCGGTTCGGCTCAGTGGATAGAGCGTCAGCCTGCGGACCAAAGGGCATGGTCAAGGGCACATACCTCGGTTGCAGGCTTCTCCCTGGCCCTGCCAAAGAGAGTGACTTAATTTTCCTGGGCAACAGAGGGAGAGATTAGCAAAGTCTTCACCGAGTGTGAATTGTTTTAACCGAATTGAAAACTAGCTGGACAGGGAGGTGGAAGGACATCTAGACATGACAGCGGGAGGGGACAGCGGGAGCAAAGGCATGGAGGCAAGAAAGGGCCTCTAAGTGTATTGTGTCCTCCACTTCGTCTGTGCCCAGGCTGCCTTATCTTTCCAGGAGCCAGCAAGGGTTGGTGGCCAAGTGGCCCAGGTGTCACTAGACCAGCACTGGAGAATGATGAAGGTCATAGTGTTCCTTACCTTCCCCGAACATTATCTCCTCCATCTGCTTCCTATTCTTCTTTTTCTGCCAAGCACCCAAGGTTCTCATGCATCAAACCAGAAAGACAACTTTTCATGTTATAAAGCTTTTACTTTTTTTTTTTATTAGCAAATGATAACAGAAGCCTTACAGAACAGGCTGCTGAGCATAACTTAGGAATTCCAGCAGCGACTGATGCTTTAAAAATCACTATTTATGTTTTGGGCATACAATGTATATAGATGTAATTTTGTGACATCAATAGTCAATAGGGGTAAAGGAGATGAAGCTGTAAAGGAACCGCATTTTTGTGTGCTATTGAAGTTCAGCTGGTATAAATTCAAATTAGAATGTTACAACTTTAGGATGTTAAATGGAATCCCCAGAGTAACCAAAAAGAAAATAGTTATAAAATATACACAAAAGGAAATGAGACAGGAATTTAAACATTTCACTACAAAGAGTCAACTAAACACAAAAGCAGGCAGTAATCCTGGAAATAAGGGACAAAATAACTAAAAGGCATAGAGAAAACCAATAGCAAAATGACAGAAGCAAGTTCCTCCTTATCAGTAATCACTTTAAAAGTAAAAGTGGATCAAATTCTCCAATCAAAAGACAGAGATTGGTAGAATGGATGAAAAGGCATATTCCGACTATATGCCATCTGTAAAAAAATCAATAAAATATATTAAAAAAAAGAAAGTTAGGTGATGGCTAAAGATAATTCCATACAAATAGTAATTTAAAAAAAAAGGCAGGCATGGCTCTATTAATACCAGACAACTATCCCCATTCCAAAGCTAGACACAGAAGCCGAACTGGGAAGGAGGGAAACTAAAACACTGAGCCGTAACCCATGCCCTCACCTCAAAGAGGGCATCAAAGCACTTGGAGTGACAAGGTCAGGGAGCTGGATATTGGAGATGTTTCTGGAAAGAGCTGTCAAGTGCATTGTGAGCCTTCTCCACATACTGCCATGGGAGGGGTGGGGCGGGCTACTTTTCCCTGACCTGAAGCCTAGTGGGAACGACAATGGGACCTGTATCTCCTGGGGCTCCAGGCCTGAAAAAGACTAAGGCAGAAACTGGCTGATGGGCTCCCCTGGAATTGAATTTCTTTCTTATTTTTTCTTTTGCCAGTTTTCTGTCCTGTCACCAGTTCTTCTGAAACTCTCCAGTGAAATTCCACAACTCCTCTGAGGAGCCTTTTCCCCATGATCAAACTCCAGGGACCGATCTGCTTCACTCTTGGTCTGGAGACTGCTGTCATGGGTCTGTCATTGCTTCTGCTCTGTCTAAACGAGTGATCTTCCAGGCCTGCTGCATAGCTATGGTGGCCTCACACTGTCCTTTGTCTTCCCCTATTGCCTGGATCTGTCTCTTCTTTCAGGTGAGGTCTTTGCTTTGTTGGAGCACATCCTCCAGTAACTTTCTAAGAAAGTGTTCATGGGAAGAAATATTTTAAGACTTTGCATATCAGAAAATGCCCTCACAATTGATAATTTGGGTTGGTATAGAATTCCAGGTTGGAAATAATTTTCCTCAGCATTTTGAAAGCATTGCTTTTAGGTCTTACAGGTGCTATTGAGAAGTATAAATGCCTTTTTATTCCTAAATCTTTGAACACAGCCTGTTTTTCTATTCTTTTTAAGATCTAGTCCATGGTTCTGAAATGTGGAAACTCACTTTTTCCAATTTGGGGAAAAATTCTTTTATTATATCTCCATATCTATTTTCTCTCTTTCTTCCAAAAAGTGCTAATTGTTAGATATTACACTTTTTAAGTTAAACCTCTAGTTTTGTTTTATTTTTCTCTTTTTCTCCTGTTTTCTGCTTCTAACTTTTTTGTTCTGCTTCCTTAGAGATTTCCTCGATTTTATTTTCTAACAATTCCATTTAATTTTTTAAAAATATATTTTATTGATTTTTTACAGAGAGGAAGAGAGAGGGATAGAGAGCTAGAAACATCGATGAGAGAGAAACACCAATCAGCTGACCCCCGCACACTCCCCACCGGGGATGTGCCCGCAACCAAGGTACATGCCCTTGGCCAGAATTGAACCTGGGACCTTCCAGTCTGCAGGTCGACGCTCTATCCACTAAGCCAAACCGGTTAGGGCTCCATTTAATTTTTTAAAATTTCTTCTGTCACATTTTAAATCTAAGAGCCTTTATTGATCTTTTCATGGATGACTATCATGCATTTTCTCTTTGGGATTATTAATCCTACTTTGTTTTGTTTTTTGTTGTTTTTTTTAATTTCTGTTTTGCTCCTTGCATTATCTCTACTTTCTTCCATCCTTTTTCTGACTTGTTTTATGTTAGGGCAGGGGTCCTCAAACTATGGCCCGCAGGCCACATACAAATACAAATATTGTATTTGTTCCCGTTTCGTTTTTTTTACTTCAAAATAAGATATGTGCAGTGTGCATAGGAATTTGTTCATAGTTTTTTTTTAAACTATAGTCCGGCCCTCCAATGGTCTGAGGGACAGTGAACTGGCCCCCTGTTTAAAAAGTTTGAGGACCCCTGGTGTAGACTTTGAGTTGGCCCCATGTCCTCCCATCCCTTTCCCACCACCTTTTACTGCACCTGGGCCCTCCAGGTCCTAAACCTTCCAGGGATTCTATGGCCAAATTCATGTCCTCCTCCTTCACCCCCTCTGCCAGCATTTGGTGTTCAGCTGTTATTTTTCTTGCTCTTTTATCTTTCTGTCTTTGAAAAATGTACTCACATTTCTAGTTCAATGTTTCTCTTGGGCTTATGTCTTGTTTTAAGCAGGATATGTGTTCAACCCACCATACTTTAATACTTTATTATATTTTTCTTAATAGTAAATACCTGGATACATATATGCACATATAGTAAATATACATAGATTCAATCACCTAAAAGTTGATTAGTGAAAGTAATCTCCCCATGACCTCGTCTTTTGCTCCACCCCAATAGCCCCACAGTCATCAGTTGTCTGTATGTCCTTCCAAAGAAAGTATATACACACATTCACATAGACACATACGGAAACATGTAAGTGGACACTAATGGATTTTATTTTAAATCAAGAAAGTGAGTTCTTTGTATACCCTTGAGGGATATTCATGTTTTAAATAAAGGGCAGTGCTTAACCCAAAGACATGAACCTCTTCTAGTTAGATTTCGGGTTCCATGGCAGGTGGTAGACATTTTTAAGGGGCATTTCAAGTGCACGGGGCAGTAGTTGGTGGCATTCTTCCACTTCTCGGCTGGCTTTCTTTATCATCCTTGTCTTCTCTCTTTCTACTTTATCCCCCATGGTTCTTCCTATTTTCATGCTTTCTACTCTAGATGCCTTTGGCTGGCCCGTGGCCCATGGATCTAAGGAAGTTATTTATCCTGACTAATGGATACACCCTACTCTGGGTACCTCTTGGGTTTTAAGAATAAATTGGCACCCTAGATGAATGGGCATCCATCATGCCCCTGGCTGAATAGACGATTAAGAGATAGACCCAGAGGCATCCCTGAATATTTCAGGGACCGTAAATAGCTTTGGGCGAGCTACTTGACTTGATGGTCCATAGCAGTGACGTCAGTATGACTCTTTGTCCTTGCAATAGGGCCTGTGGCTACCAAACCAGACTTGATATCAAAACTGGAGCATAGAGCTGCACCCTGGATCAAGGATCCAAAGGGGGCGAAGTGGGGGAAAGGTCGTTTTCCAGGTGAGTATTGATCTACTGAGTTCTGGAGGGCACGTCCAGGGCCCAGGTAGCTGTGGCAAGTCACACAGTGTTAGTTCAGCCATACTTAACCTGAGCCTATTGTGCACCAGGCCCTATATTAGACTCTGGGTCGACAGAGATGAATATGAAATTAACCCTGCCCTCAGAGCGTAGAAAACTGGGAAACCAGGACAGTATGGAAATAATAAGGACTTTGATGAGCAGAAGTGCTAAAGGGACCGTGGTTGAGCTGATGGGAGGAGGGGTGTGGGAGATGCTGGTTCTGATCAACGATGTGCCCACAGGCCTGTGAGCCTCTACTCTCTCCCTCTTCCTCTGGTTTTTGGCACTGCTGGCCTGTGGGAGTTAGTTTGTTGCATATCTCCAGCAGTAACTTGTTGGCTAGTAGCTCCTGTTTATACTTCTGTGCCTCCCTTCTTTCAAAGGCTCATAAGGACTTATGGATGTTTAACCTCATTTCTTTGTGACGCCTCAGAAGAGGATTAAAGCCACCTGTTTATCCAATAGCATCTATGGCCAAGGTGGTTAACTAAGATTATTATTAGTAGCTGATGTCACATGATCCTGGGTCACTGTGTAGATAGAGAGGGGGAAGCTGGCTAAAGAGCCCACAGAGATTAGCAAACAATTCTTGACTTCCATAGATAATAACGGGGAGGCCAGTGATGCTCTCTAGGAAGGTGGGCCACATTCATCCGTTCTGCTTTGCGTCAGGATACGTATTACATTGGGTGTCTTAGCTGGTGGGAGACTGCAGAGTTCTGGGCAGCAAAATGAAGCAGTTTGATGTGCTCCCAAGGGAAAAAGAAGATGGTGGCTGCCGGAGAGGCAGACACGCAGGCCTCGGCTGTGGAATCTGCGTTGCTTCTAGCTCCTCCTGTGGAGACATGTGCCTCCTACTGCAGGTCCAGCCTTTGTGACGTGGAAGCAGATGGGCCTAGGAAAATCAAGAGGATTTACAGACCCCGCTCCATTCAGAGGTCGTGGTTTGGGCAGTTCCCATGGTTAGTCATTGACTCAGAAGAGACCAAGCTCTTCTGCTCAGCTTGCAAAGAAAAACCGCATCTCCACGACAGGTCATCGCGGTTAGTCCAAGGCTACACGGGGCCATTCAAAGTGGAGACTTTAAAATACCATGAAGTCAGCAAAGCACACAAGCTCTGCGTCAACACTGTTAAAATCCAGGAGGACACCCCTCAGGCTGCCCTAGTCCCAGAGATCTCCAGTGACCTGATGGCCAACATGGAGCACTTCTTCAATGCGGCCTACTCCATCGCCTACCACTCGAGGCCACTGAATGACTTTGAGAAGACCCTGCAGCTCCTCCAAAGCACAGGGACCATGATTTTGAGCAAGTACCGGAACCGCACTGCGTGCACCCAGTTCATCAGATACATCTCTGAGACTCTGAGGAAGGGGGTCCTCGAGGACGTCCGGAACTCCCTCTGCATGAGCATGCTGTTGGACAGCTCCACCAACACCCCAGACCAGGCCTGTGTGGCCATTTACATCCGCTACTTGAAGGGGGCAGAGGTGAAAGAGTCTTACATCACGCTGGCCCCGCTCTACAGTGAGACGGTGGATGGGTGCTTCGAGTCCATTGTCTCTGCACTGGATGAGCTGGACGTCCCCTTCCGGAAGCCTGGTTGGGTCGTGGGTCTGGGAACCGATGGCTCAGCCATGCTGGGCCACAGCGGGGGCCTTGTGGGAAAGTTCCAGGAGATCATCCCTCCGCTGCTGCCTGTCCACTGTGTGGCCCACCGGCTGCCCCTGGCTGTGGTGGATGCCTGCGCAGGCATTGATCTGGTGAAGAAGTGTGACCGGCACATCCGAACCGTCTTCAAGTTTTACCAGTCCTCGAACAAAAGGCTAGCAGAGCTGCAGCAAGGCGCTACGGCACTGCAGCAGGAAATCACCCGCCTCAAGGACTTGAATGCAGTCAAGTGGGTGGCCAGTAGGAGGCGCACACTGACTGTGCTCATCTCGAGCTGGCCTGCCCTGGCTCGGCACCTCCAGAGTGTGGCAGAGGCTGGGGGCCAGATTGGGCACAGGGCCAAAGGCATGCTGAAGCTCACGAAGAACTTCCATTTCATCAGGTTCTGCCACTTCCTGCTGGACTTCCTGAGCATTTACAGGCCGTTGTCGGAGGTGTGCCGGAAAGAAGTGGTGTTGATTACGGAGGTGAACTCCACGCTGAGAAGGGCCTATGTCGCTCTGGAGACCCTCCGTCACCGGGCGGGGCTCAAAGAGGAAGAGTTCAATGCCAGCTTCCAGGATGGGCAGCTGCATGGCATTTCCTTAGACAGAATGGAGGTGGCAGAGCAGCGTTTCCAGGCAGACAGGGAGAGAGTGATCCTGACAGGGACTGAGTACCTCCAGCAGAGGTTTGACACACACCGTCCCCCACAACTCAAAAACATGGAGGTGTTTGACACCATGAGCTGGCCAAGTGGCACTGAACTGGCCAGTTTTGGGAACGATGATATCCTTGCCCTTGCCAGGTACTTTGAGCTCTCAATGCCCCCAGGGTACAGCGAGCAAGCCCTCCTGGAGGAGTGGCTGGGCCTGAAAGCCACGGCCAGGAACCTGCCGCTCTCCATGCTGTGTAAGAGTGCCCTGGCCCAGCACTGCCGCTTCCCCTTGCTGAGCAGGCTGGTGGCAGCGGTGGTCTGTGTGCCCGTCTCCACCTCCTGCTGTGAGCGTGGATTCAGTGCCATGAACCGGATCAGGACCGAAGAGAGGACCAAGCTATCCAATGAGGTGATCAACATGCTCATGATGACAGCAGTGAATGGTGTGGCAGTCACCCAGTATGACCCGCAGCCCGCCATCCAGCACTGGTACCTAACCTCCTCAGGCCGGCGCTTCAGCCACGTCTACGCCTGTGCCCCGGTGCCACCCCATTCCTATGCAAGTAAGTCTGCATGGTAGAGTTCCTGGAGGGGGAAACACGGCGGAAGGGAATCTCATCCTGGGGACACAGGGATTTGCACATCTGAAGCAAATAGCGAACCCTACCAGATGGTATATGATAGAGCCTTCCCAGCGGGCTTTCTCAGCCTCAGCACTGTTGACATTTGAGGCCAAATAGATCTTGGTGAGGGCCCGTGCTGTGGTGGTGGGTCTTCGGCAGCGTCCTTCACCTCTATCCGTTACATACCCACTGGATACCGTGGTGCCCTCCTGGTTGTAGCAACCAACTGTCTTCAGACTTCAAGGGACAAACAGCCCCTAGGGGAGGTCCTGTGTCCCAGCATGGGCATAGATTGGCCTGCAGCCCTAGTCATGTCTCCGGTCTGTGCTGCCACTGTATTTTTCCACTGGATGTGCCTTGGGGTGCAGTTGGCAGTGGGAAGGGGATCCTCATGTACTGTGTTTTCCCCAAGTCTGATGGTGCCTTCTCTTTCCTCCCACTTGAGGGGCGGTGCCCGGGATGGAGAAGATGGGAGCACGCCATGTGGAGGAGGCCGTGACCCAGAAGCCGCCCATCCATCCTACGGGAACGGGTGGAGATCCTGACGACTGCCTCATGGACCCTCCTGACAGGCTCCTGTACCCCCACACCAGCCAGGAGGCCCCTGTGCTGTCCTGATACAGGCTCTGCAGGAGCAGGAATCCTAGGATTGCCTTGGAGACCCTTACCCTGCCCCTTGTGGTCATGCTGACAGGCTCTGTGCCCTAGAATCTTCCTTTGGTAGGGACTCTAAGAACAGGAAGTGGGCAGTGACAAGGTAGTTACACCCACATGCCAGAGAGGCAGGGCCATCAGGGGGTGCAGAACTTGTTCACCTCTAAATGGAGCAGGGGCAGCACTGACATATGCACTCTTATCTCAAGTTCATGTTTAAGGTGCTTCAGGAAATAATCCCATTGCGAAAGATTTCACCCCATATGCTAGTGGCAAGAGGATTTTTCTGAAGTGGGAGAGACTACTGGGGGTAGGAACTTAAAGGAGCACCCCAGCCCCCTGGAACGTTGGGGAGCATTCCAGTGGGGCTGTCCACGGCCTCGGTGGCCTGGGGAAGACACTGGGTGAGGGGCAGAGGATGACCAGGCTCCAGGCTCAGCTGGCCAGGGTCTGGGATGTCACCCTGGCTCTATGACAAGCAGGTACAGCCTGATTTCAAAGTGGGAAACTCATCAGAGAATCTCTCTACCTCCTCCTAGGACCGCCCTTTAGGGTGAGACAAGCAGAGCCCTTTGCACAGAGCGCTCCAGAGAGCTTCTCCTGCGGCTCCAGGCCAGGCGAGAGAAGCATCTCCCTGGAGCGAGCCAAGCCCATGCGTCCCACCCAGTCCCACAGTTGCGGCCCTTGTGTTTGACCTGCATCATGCTGGGGTGCCTTCCTAAGCAGCAAACTGGACCAAGTTGCCCTCAGGAGGCTGGGATCCGGTCCCTGCTCTACTACAGGCAGTAGTTCAGCCATGATTAATCATTCCTCTGTGCTGTGCCTCAGTTCCCCCCTCCATTAAGTAGCAGAGAGTCCATGTGCCTGCTGGTTCCCAGCCTGACACAGAACTGGCACGTGACAGTGCATCCACCTACCTGCAAGACAGGCCTCGGACCGCACAGAGGGGACTCTTCATTGTCATCCTCTGTCCCGTCACCCATGTCTTTACTGTGGGAAGAGGTGCTCCTAAGATGTGCCATCGGCAGGATGGTCTAGTCCCGTGGTCGGCAAACTGCGGCTCGTGAGCCACATGCGGCTCTTTGGCCCCTTGAGTGTGGCTCTTCCTAAGCCTCAAAAGAAATTTCAGTCGTTGTACTGTTGATATTTGGCTCTGTTGACTAATGAGTTTGCCGACCACTGCTCTAGTCCATTCTTCCCAACATTGCTCTGGGGATTCAGCCTGGGACCCCCAGGCCTGGGGCTCAGGGCCTGGCTGTAAGGTCCCCCCGGAACTTGTGTGCCCACTCCAGGCACAGAAGGGCCCCCGCACTGTGAGGTTCCTGCGTGCTCTTGCCCATCTGCCCTTCTTCCCCAAAGTAAAACACTTCCCTTCCAGGCAGCTTCCTTCAGCAGGCTCCTCGGCCGCTTCTCTGGCTGGAGATGGTGTGTCCGGTCCTGCTACCTAACCGCTGCGTGGGGAAGGATGTCATCAAATACATGGTGACAGAAGGAGACTGGGCTTAGGTGGTCAATACACAATAGAGTATACAGATGTATTATGATGTCATATACTTGAAATTTATAAAATGTTATAAATTTCTCTGCCCCTGCCTTGCTTGTTCAGGCTCCTTGCTGGCCTTGCTGCCGGCCCCCGCTGGGGTCCCTGCTCTGTTGCAAGTTGAGGTGGTCTGACCCTCAGCCAGCAGTCTGCCCACTTCCCCTCCTTAAGGGTGCCGAGAGCCCTGGCAACACTAGTATCTGAAAGGCTCACTGGATGGCTGACCCCCGGTTCCCAGGATTCTGACTCTCCCTTCCTGTCTCCCCACCCTTAGCACTTAGCCTCTGTGCCAGGAATTCTGCTCTCACTTTGCCCTGAACCCGTGGAAATGTCTCTTCCTGCCCTTGGGGCAGGACCTTGGGCAGCGTGTTACCCGGCCAAGATGGAGCCCGCTCACACAAGCCTCTGTGTGCAGTTCGGGAATCTGCCCTAGGCCAGGCACTGTGGGGTGAATTGGTAGGATGGAAGCGAGAAAGGTCCTCTAAAGTGGGGGTTGTGGTTCCCCCCTTATCCATAGGGATTCCGAATTGAGGTGACTTTCCTGCAAGGGCTTTCCTCATGCATCTTCCAGCCTCTAAGAATCCTCAGAGCAAGATTTAGTCCCGCGGCCAACGCTGCATGTGGGCTCCATGCACTTACTTCCCGATGCAGGTCTAGATGCTGCCCTGGAGGCCAGCTGGGGACACCCTGCCTTGCCACTCTGTGCTCTGAGCAAGCTTCCAGGGCCAGCCTGTGAGGAAGCCGGACCCCTCGGAATGCCGCAGTGTGGCGAGCGCCTTTAGGCCGTTCCCGGAGGCCTGTTGCCGGGCAGCTCATTTCATTTCAAGAGAGCTGCTGTGTCTCAGGCCCCAGGGCCTGGCTGCCCCTGGATTGGAGAGGCTTCCTATTTTTGCCTCACAAGCAACCAAGCTGAAGGGCATTGGGAATACAAGGAGCAAGTGCTCCGCCTTTGGCCAGGGTCCTGGACAAGCCTCCACCCTCCTCTCCTACCTGTAATCTTCATGGCAACTCCATGTTCCCATCCTGGCCTTCCCCACCCACCCACCGCGCCCCATCACTGACCTGAATAGCCAGCGTAATAACCGACAGGTAGGTGAGAGCCAGAGACCAGGTGGGGGGCGGAGGAGCCTCAGCCTTGCCCCCCCCCGCCCCGCCCCTCGCCCTGCCCGCGGGGTACATTGGGGAGCATGAGACTACCGGACTGTTGGTTCTCTCCCAAGCCCAGGCGTGCTCAGTGTTGGGCAGGACAGTGCGAAGATTGGCCAATTCCCGCATCCCGGTGTCTGCCAGCCAAGGACTCCGGGGGGCGGGGGGGGGGGAGGCGGATGACAGCCCAGGAATGTCCTCCTTCAAATATGTGCAAATGAGGTTTATAAAACCACGATTGATTTTCAATGTTTTTCCCTGAATAAAACATTTCGACACAGGCCTGTGCCCTATGAATTCTTTTAGAATTAGGGAACTGGAGAAGCTGATCGAAGCTGAAAAGATCGGGCTGCCCAGAAAGCCCGCCCTGAGCCCATCGGCCGGACCCTCTCCCCCAAGGATGCGCGCGCGCCTGCGCAGTGTAGGTCTCCCTAAGTCCCTCCCCTTTGTCTGGGGGCCTGGGATGGAAACTGTTGAGGATGTGAAATTCTTAGTGTGGTAGGTGATCAAGTTGAAAAGATTCCCAGCAGTTGAGGGCCTCTCTCTTCCTGCCTTGCTTTTTCTAAGGCTGGTGGCCCCAGGGGCTCTTTTTTCTTGGGGAAAAACCGGGGGAGGGCGGAGAGGGTCGGGGAAGGGCGGAGAGCCGACTGTCGCGGGAGATGCTCGAGGGTCACCCCTCTGGCCAGTCCCGCTGTGGCTCGTCCCTGTTCACACCGCACCGGCTGTGACCTTGGAATGTCACCGCTCAAGCCTCCCTTTCTTCATAGGCAAAATGGGGATGATGATGATGATGATGAGGGCCTTTTAAAAAATATATATATTTTATTGATTTTTTACAGAGAGGAAGGGAGAGGGATAGAGAGTTAGAAACATCGATGAGAGAGAAACATCGATCAGCTGCCTCCTGCAAACTCCCCACTGGGGATGTGCCCGAAACCAAGGTACATGCCCTTGACCAGGATCGAACCTGGGACCCTTCAGTCCGCAGGCTGACGCTCTATCCCCTGAGCCAAACCGGTTAGGGCGAAGGCCTTTTTTTAAAAAAATCCTTACCCGAGGACATATTTCCATAGACAGAGAGAGAGAGATGATGATGATGTGAGAGAGAAACATCGATTGATTGCCTCCCCTGCCGCCCCTGTTGGGGATTGAACCTGCAACTTAGGTATGTGCCCTGACCAAATCCAGCCGGCAACCGTGAGGTGTATGGGAGGACGCTCCAACCAGTGAAGCCACCCGGCCAGGGCGATGGCTGCCTTCTAAGGCTGCTGTGAGGATCACACCAAATAACGCGTATAAACTCTTAACAACGCAGCACTGGTAGTATGTATTGGGTGTTTTGGTCGGTATCATTGGCCTGTGGCGGTCCCAGAGCAGATTTCTGTGCCTGTTACACTGTTCGCCAGTTTCTGCTTCATGTTGTTGTCAGTTACAAGGTACTGTCTCCCCTCGATGACAAGGTCCTTCATGCTCCACGTGGGCTTCTTGGCCACTGTAGACCCCAGGGCCCAGCACAGGACTGTGCCTGATAATGTTAAAAGAATGGATCCAGTGCTAATTTCTCTGGTGCAGACTTCAAGTGCTTTTGGTCAGAGGTCATAGAGTCTGGTTTGGATTCAGTTTCGCTCTGGCTGGAGTTTTGGACACATGGGTGTTGCCTCTGTTTTTCAAGATCTGCAGGGCTGAGGACAACAGCTTGTTAGTATCTCACCTCTCCGGCAAACCGTGGTGAGTTCTTTCTTCTAACAGAAGTCTCCCCTGCTGCACTGTGAGCTTCTGTCTCCAGTGGTCTGAGTGGACACAACGTAGCCACTCAGTCTGCCTCAGAGATGGTGCACAGTTCCCTTGCTTCTTGTCCTGTCTTCTAGTCTTATGTTTTCCTTCCCCTTGCCCAGTGAATTTTGAATTCCAGAGACTCCCCCACAGTGGGTTGCTGCAAATGCAGCTCTGTGAGTGCCTAGTCCCAACACGGCTGCATTAAGATGGAGACATACTGGGTGCTAGAGAAGGGAGATGAAGGGAAGGAATCAGGTGACTCTGATATGGTCAAGGCCAGCCTCCCCATGAGGTGACACTTAGCATTGTTATTTTCCATCTGAAAAGAGCTCAGCCTCTGGTGTGCAGGTGACAGGGGGAAGACCAATGGGAAAGGGGCTGACACAGGAGCTC